GAATGCCTCGGCATCCCCACGGAGGAGCTGGAGGAAGTGTCTGGAGAGAGGGAAGTCTGGGCATCTTTGCTTACACTGCTGCCCCCGCGACCCGGTCCCGGATAAGCGGAAGAAAATGGATGGGTGCTTATTACATTGATGACTCGGCTCAATACATTAAGCTCTTTCTCATGCACGTCAGTCCATATCCTGTCTTATTCAAGGTGTCTATCTTTACATGTCATTCAGGTATTTGCACGTGGGTCGATGTAAAAGGTATTATCATTTTATAGCAAAGCAAACAGAAAACAAAACATTATTAGCATTTTTTTAGAAGCTAAAGTTCACAGAATGGTTGTGCCCAGTGGTGGAAATTCAGTACACCACATGAAGTACTGTTGTTAACTAAGTACACCAAGCACTGTTGTTACAGTAAGTAACATTTTGAAATGCTTGAGTGTTTTAATTTTCTGCTACTTCATACTTAGAATTCACTTCATTTCAGAGGCAAATGCACTTTTTACTAAGCCACATGTATTTCACAACAGTAACTTTTCAGAATCAGTAAATGTGTTTTTGAATGTAGGACTTTGTACATGTAACAGAGTAATCTTACACTGTGGTACTGCTACTTTTACTTAGGTTAATTAAATGATCTGAGTACTCCTTCCACCACTGGCTCCATGTCCCTCTGTATTGTTATGAAATAGTCATTGGTTCAACTTAGCCCGCTTTTACCAATTAGGAGTTTGTGCTATAATATAATGAGCAGCTATAGTAGTAGCTAAAAAACCAGATAATACTGAAAGTAGTATGTCATAGCCTACTTTTATTATTGGCACTGTATTTTAGTACTAGTGAGTCCACTGTAGCAACAGGGTTAATGTTGTTTTTTGTTATTTTTGTTTACAGAATTTTATTTTTCATCTTTTTCTTGATGCAGTGTTTTTTCTCAGTGTCCAGATGCATCAGCTTTTATTATTTATGTCTGCTATTATCTAACCTTTAAAACAGATATAGAAAAGACTATAAAAAGGCGTCTGTGTTCCTGAAACCTGCAGATGCTGTGCTGAGTGTGGCGCCACCTCGTGGACATGGTAAGGCTGTGCGTGATGTTAAAGTTTTTAAACCTGGAACCAATCTTTTTTTTTTTTTTTTTTAACTTAAAAGGCATTTTGTGCACTGTTTTGATTTTTCATATAGTCTGCTGTTTCTGTACATGTGATAAGTGACAGTTGAACTGTGCTGTCTCAAGGCACTGAAGATGCCCAGTGTAACCACTGAGTGGCAGGAGAAAGCAGCTTGATGTCCTCGCTGCTGCCAGAGCAGAATTACATCACTGAAGGTACCAGACCTCATACTGGAACCTGCTGTATGAATTCATCCCACAGATAACACACATACAGCAGGAAGGTATGAATAAGTGAGGGAGTTTATTGTTGCATTTTATAGTTTTATTCTGAAAGTTCACAGAGATTAAAACACAGACCTCAGGTGTGGAAAAATGAAAGACTGTGCTTTATAGATATGATTCAGTTGTTACTGTTATCCCTTCTTTTATCAGCACTATACAAACAACATTCCCTGTAAAACCCAAGGAAGGTGATGGCAGTGTTAGATGTGTTGAGTCCAGGGCAACAGAAATAACTGGTACACCAATGATAATGTTATTAAACGTAATTGTCAATTGATATTGTTCCTAAGCTATGAGCAGGAGACAAAAGCAATGTGATAATTCACAATGGGAAACATTTTGGGGAGATTTCTTCCATGTAAAATGAAACTAACATCAATGAATGGGGCGATTCTGTCATGTATGGAGGACCCAGCACTGATGACGGCATCTGATAGGCAACAACACATATCCTTGACTATGTCAGCAAAACATGGAAAATGAAAGACCAGGATGTTTCTGCATGTTCCACTGGCTTGTTTTGAGACTTGCCATTATGGAAATGGCAAGTTATATGTATTATTGATAATTATTACAGTAAAAAGTTGTGATGTTTTCTAAAAACAAAAAGAAAGAACTCACTGAGCTGCTTCCAAAAACTATAAACTGTAACTTCTGTTGTTTTAAGGTTCCCAGAGTGGATCCTTTGTATTTCTGGTGATACTGTCATTGTCAGGTTGTGTGGGTATTTTACCAAGTACAACTAATTCTACACTGAACAAAACAGTGAAAGCACAAAAAAAATCGCTAAATGACTTTAGTTTCATTTTTTTCATCTGCAATCTGCAAAGTGTCTGTCTGGACATGATGTAATCAGCTGGTTAAGCCACTGACACCTGAGAGAATCCCATTTGCTGAAGAAGCCGGTCAAATATGGTTGAAAACCTCAGAAAAGTGGGACAGGTGGGAAAGCAACACTTTCCCCTCCCTCGTCAATGTTACTGTGGTGGCTTGAAGCAAGACCCAGTTGCTCAGTGGCCTGCAGGTCAGACTGGGATTTACTGGGCAGCTTCCAGGTGTGAATGTGAACAGAGTGCTCCTATAGAAGAGAGGTGACCTCTCACAGGTTAAAAAAAAAACTTAGAAAATGTTTTCACAGGTGTTTGTTGTCGAGGACACAAATGAACCTCTGAAGATGTTAGTGTTAGCTGTCTCTGGGTCTTCAGCTGCTTTTATTTTCACTGTTGGATTAATATAGAACAGGAGTGATGCATATTTCTTATTCACCATATCTGAAGAAACAAGTCATGTGACTTGGAGTTTCCATCAACTATTTTTTCAATTGTTTAGCTGCTGTCAGAGCCTCTGATGGCTTGGCGTTGCAGACAGGTGGAGCAGCCCCAGCATCATTCATGCCAAATATACAAACTGAAACTGTCTCAGTGTGGTTTATAGTTTCAGTCTGTGTATTGGACATGCTGGCAGTGATGCTGCTATCAAAACCTCCGTCTACTCACAAAGGGGTTTGGCCCACATTCCTCACCTCACTCATACAGTATCAGGGTTGTGTGTGTGTGTGTGTGTGTGTGTGTGTGTGTGTGTTAATCTCTGTTCAGTGCTCTTCTCTTGCCTCAACCTCCACTGACTAAGTTCGCTTCCTGTGTTTTACACATTTTTGTCCCCAGAAGGAAGAGAGATGAGATGGCTCTGTTTTTCTTTGATGTGGTGTCACATTCCTGGTCGAAATGATTCAAAACAGAGCGAAGGTGCGCGAGTCCTGCTGATCTCATACAGAAAGTGTAATGATTAATCAGATGGAACATTGTGGGTGTGGGGTAAGAATGTTAGTAATAATTCTTTAGTATATTACTTGTGTGGCATAGAAGATAATTATCTATGAATGTAATTATGTAGAATGTTAGCACTTTGTATGGTGTAGAGGATAATTATCTATGTAGAGATACTGCTTGCAAACCAATGATGGTAAGATGATGTCATGGGGTAGGACTGGATAAGTCTAACTTCTTCCTACTCCATTCAAGCATGTACTAGGTATAAGTAAATTGATATTGAATTATTATTGTTGGATATGTGTAAAATTACATGTGTTGACATATCAACTGTTTTACATGCTTGAATGAATAAATCAAATCAAATCAAAGTGTGCTGAAGTTATGTAAGTGACCATTCACCAGACCATGCTGCCTTCACACTGTGTTGGCAGAATAGACAAAACAAGACCAGCAGCCTTTTAGAGACAGCATCTAAAAAGACTTAATTAGCTACATTAGAGACATTATGTATTTTTAGGGTTTATTACGAAGTGAAACCAGATACAGACAAACTGTCTATACTTAATTTTCCATGAATTGAATCAAATGGATTTGTGCTGATGTTAATTTGATACTGTGGTGGCTATGTAATGTTTAAAGCTGACATGTTGTTCAATACCCAGGGGGTCTGCATTTGTTAGTAACGCACATGGTGAAAACTGAATGTCGCTGGTAAAATATTAACTTCATCAGTTGATGATCCATGTAGAACAAACTTTGGAAGGGAAAAAACTAGTCAGTCTGTTGTAAGTATGATAAAATCCAGCATAGAGAAAGACAGATGCTAAGGTTAGTAGCATCCAGGTATCATCCCGGTCAAATATCATCATAGCAGATGTGTCACATGAGCAGTTTTTTTAAAATGCAAATTATATCCCAACAACATGTAGTTATGTTAACTACCCACGGTAACTACTGAAGGTACTAAGCTAGTTAGCTGGACATGCTATGTCTTACAACATACATATTCAGCTATTTCACACTGTCCTGAATGTCGTGACGTCTGTGTGTTATTGTGTCTCAGGCCATATGTTCAACCTCATCCTAGTGGGATTTCAAAGGATTTTGCAATCATGGCTCCACTGTTTGTTTGTCATCGCGCCACCTCACATTCCTCCATTGCCCTCAGCAGCAGCCGGAAGTGGGAAATAGATAAGGGCACATTTTTGACACTGTGACTGCCCTGTCTGGATAAAGGGACAGGGGAAAAGGAAACGAGGGGAGGGGGTCCCTTTAGATTGAGGCTGCACCACTGGACAAATATTTGCTCTAGATGAGTATTTTTTTCCTTCACTGTAACAAATAGTTCGTCAAGCACCGGTCTTTCTGTATTGTGACATCGTTTCAGCATTTCCCCTACAAACTATGACCGCACACAAATATGCATATCTCAACACTGTTTTTTCCTGTTTCTACTGATGCCTACTTCTGCACTCTGGTTACCTGCTGGAGCTCTTATGCAAGATTCCTCAGCATTTGCATTATCTTTGCTGAAGCCCTCTACAGCTGTGCTCCTTCCTATTTAAAACTACTTATGGTAAAGAGTATGTGAAACTAATGCATTCTTGTCTATACCTGAAAAAAATGAAATTTCACAAAGTCTTGGTCGTTGACCTCCAGAGAAAATAAATGAACTTTTCCTACATAGAATATGTTGCATCCAATTGTGTTCCATGATGTTCTACTACCTCGGATGTACTAACAACAGTAATATCTACTTTCATCAGTTTAAACATTTTCTAGTAATGCCTAGTAAAATTAATAAATTAAAAGATATTTTCAGAACATAAAAACTTGCAACAGTCCCATAACAAATTAAATACAAGTTATTTAAAAAAAGTGCAAGTCATAGAATTTAAAAAAATTCAAAAAAGAAATTTTACAAAGGGATAAGTTGTAGATGAGTTATGTAAAAGGTTTCATCCAAATGTAGGTACTTTTATCCATAACACAAGGAATAATATCATACATTAAGATGAAAATGTTTCAATTAGAAATGTGTCGTAGTTAAATTCCAGAGGAAAGACATATACATTTGACATATACAGTAAAATAGACTTTGTAAACAGGTCTGTCGTGTATACTCCAGTAGTAGTACCACTGTACATACTACTACAGCAGTATCCTAAGTCTGTGCCTTTAAAGCCAGTAGAATAAAAGTATGCCAACCTAAATAATATGTGGGCATCAGATCTGTCCTCTGCATCAGTCGTGTTCTAGTGTGAGCTTGGTAAAGCTCATTCCAGTGTGTGTGGATGTGCATAATATAATCCATTCTACAGCTGATAACAAGCAGAAATACCTGAGTGTGTTTACATCACACGCTTTAACTGTTCTGACTGTGTGGTGACCAGACTGTGGTCAGGTCCATGATGTTTGTTTTTGTCACTGGTAAGAGAGAGTGCGTGTGTCTGTGGACGATACAGGCGGTGACATGTGTGTGGGCGGCAGAATGCTGATGTGGCAGGCGGCCGCGTATCTCTTCAGAAGGTCAAAGCATGTTACACACTGAGATATTGTTTGTGCGACGGAGTAAGGGCATGTGGAACGATTGTGCCATGACCTCACCTTCCTGCGTCCCCTGGACGTTATCGTCCTCATATCAGTCGTAGGGCACATGCAAACCCTCTGCCTGTTTCTGCTGTTGTTTCCTCTGCTGCCTCCGTCCTCGTCCACATACCTAACATCTTAAAAAAAAAACCTCCAGTCATCAGGCTGCTGTTTCAACCCATTTTGCATTTACATGCATTATATTAATGATTAATAAAAGTGGAGGATATTTTAACTATTTATTTATGTTATTAATGTGTTTATCAACTACTATACATCTTTGTCTGCATAAACAAATAATCATACAGCTGTGATCATATGACTTCACATTTTGCATTAATCTGAATATTGAAGTATTTGTCATATTTATTAATGAAATATTACTTCATTTAATACAATATGAATTAACACCTTAGTACCGCTGTGCTTTTACTGCTACGACAAGCCAAAACATTTAAGCACGTGCCTATAAACTATAAGTAAATGTAAACCTAGAATTACTCATTTGTCCACACTTTTGCTTTCTCTATCACTCGAACCCTCCTGATTCGTTCTCCCCACCCTTGGTGGCCAGCTGGGGGCGTCGAAAGTGGCGTGTGTATGATCATTGCTGGAATGTGAGGAGGGCAGGTGGAGTATGTGTGTTTTGTTTAACATAGACAGACAAGTACACAGAGGTAGGAGGGGCCATCATGATATCACTCTTCAGGGTGGTATAAGTAGACGTCCTGGCAGAGACATGAACACAAAGCACCTGTTGCTGCTCTCCTGCTGCTTTCACACATCAGAACTTCAGAAACAAAGGGATGATGGACTCCTTCATGTGCAAGATCCTGACTTTATTCATTATCTGCACAGCTCTGCAAGAGGGTAAGCAACTTTTCTTTTGTTTATTAGCATTCCAGGGTGTTTTAAAGCAGTTATGTTATTTTTTTAATGAGTGAAATACAATAAAAATTAGTAACTTCCTTTCATAATACATTCCTTTTGGCTGTTAATAGAATAAATGACCAGTTTTCTCTTAACTTAGAATGGTTTAATAAAGGTTTTAGATATATGGTCGGGGTTTGTGATTTACCACAATAAGCAATGTTATAAAATCATAACAGTAGAAATGAATTCAGCACAAGAATGAAGCTGCTGGTATGTTACATTATCTGAGCCTATGCAAGTCACTCCAGAAAGTGTAGTACCTGTGTACAACAAAAAGGTGAACCCAGTTGTTTTCCTTTAAGAATGGAAGAGTAGTGACATTATTACCAAAGCATTGTTGTTCCACAGCCACTTCTGTGGAATTTGTTGATGTGGACTAAGCACCTTGATCTATAAAATGATAAGTAGGTTCAGCTGTCCTCACAATCACATTTGTTTAACCAGGCTAATCCCAGGTGGATTTGTTTGTATTAAATGTGATAAACACTTACTGCATACTCAAAGGATTAGTTGGCACTATTTAATCTTGGGATCCTTTGTGTTTTTCTAGGTTGTGGACTCAGCTTATTACATGAGGCAGAGCTGCCAGCTCAGGCTCCACATCAACACCATGTCAGGACCAAACGCTGCTCCTGTAACAGCTGGGATGATAAAGAATGCATCTACTTCTGCCACCTAGATATTATCTGGGTTAACACACCAAGGTGAGGCTGCAGAATGCTGTAGGAATGTATTCAGAGAGCTACATTTGGGACCAGGCTGGAAAATGTCCTTACTAACCCTGACCCTGACCCTAATCCCCAGCAGTACTCTGGGACAATTTCTAAACTTAGCATTTTATTTCCTCATACTTTTACCAGCACTGTCCTAATTGGATTCATTTTCCTTTACAGTAAACTCCTTCCATATGGTCTGGGAAATGCCCTGTCTCGCCGCCGGCGTTCCACCAACCGTTGCAAGTGCCTCAACCCAGCTGATAAAACCTGCTCTAGATTCTGCCATAAAAGGTGAGTGCTCTTCCTTCTTCCACCTAACCCTACAGCAAAGCAAGGCCTTCCCATCATGTACCCTCCTTTGGACGCTACAGTAGATAGTATCAAAGTGTCTCCTTCCAGTGTCAGTCCAGTGTGACAAGCCTGAGCATATGTTGATGTAGAGGACGAGTCAGCGAGGAGGCAAAATGATTCAGTCTGTGATAATGGTATAACATTATGAGGGTAGTAGTCACAGTGAGACTAGAGACTTGCGGGCGTTTCCTTGCAGGCCTAGAAAGAATTCACAAAGGTTTATTAAAGGTGCTGCTATTTTTGGACAGTTTATATTTCAGCCCTTGCCCAAAGGAATGTTTGTTGCTTCTTTGACTTGATGTCATGAAACCACCAGGATTAGTCATCTTCTCTAGATGTTATCCTAGGGAGTGTTTTGTGAGGCAGGCCCTCCATTCCTGCCCATAAGGCATCTTAAATATATTAGTTTGGAATTCCAAGGAAACTGCATGTTATATTAACGTCGCGGTCACTGGGATGGTTATTTCTTTGTTTTAATGCTGTTATTGTATCTGTCCACAGCTCAGAGAATACTAGGAATGATGGTGTGAACCAGCTGGGAAAATATAAAAAGATAAACCGCAACAAAATTCTTGCATCATTTAGGTAAATGAAGAAGAATTTTAAGCATCAGACTTTACACAGTGTGATGTTTTGATGGTAAGGCATCTGAAGCACCTCTGACATCTTTTCATTTATTTCTTTTGCAGGTCTGTGGTCAAGTCCAACATAGCGATCGCAAACAACTTTCTGTCATCAAATCAGAACCTGGCTAGAGTCAACAGACTCAAGAGTAGAATGGAGAGGTAGAGGGCTCAGCCAAAGCCAGAAGCATGGATTCAATCTCAAGGACTGGAGACTTCTCCAGGGGGCTTCGGTGCCAACAACAGGGTTTTGAAACATATTAAGAGTCTGGGGATGCAGAGATGGAAAGATGCAATGCAAAGGAGCCGGTGGATCAAGCATTTGATCAACAAAACAGAGCTTTGGAAGACTGGCAGCTCCCTGAGACAGTAGCCTTGTGGCAGGTGCAATGTTGGGTGGGGACAGTCAAAGATAATATTTTGAACCCTCCTTGAGCTCTTTTGAACTTAACAACAGTCTACTTGCCATGGAAGGATCCTTCAAAGCCAAGGACATGGGAGCTGGTGGGCAACCACATCTAGAAAGCCTGAAGTGACTAGTTATCAGGTTTTCATGCACCAAGCGCTGGTTTGACTCGTCTATATGGGCAGTTTTATATCCACAACTCACTCACACTGAGGATTATAGGGTGACATCTTCCAGAGTCATATCAACTCTATATTGTTTGTCCATGTTTACTCAAATGTCCTTGAAATTATTTTCTCATGGCTAACTTTGAGTTTAAGTCTGCTCTGTATCAGAGCTGGAAATTGCTGTCTTGCCTAATGTTTTGAGCAAATGATCAAATAGCTTATTAATTATCAGGCCTACTTGAAAATGGAAGCTTATTCACTCTCGGCACAAACTGCCATAGAGAAATGAAGGTTGTGTCTTTAGAGTTATCTGGCAAATAACTGTCCACTCGTCTGCGCACACAGTCGACTGCGCTTTCTACTAACAACTGGTCTATTGTGTTGACTCAGGTATTTTGTGCACAGCTCAACCAGAAGGTTTCAGTGTCATGCAACTTGCCAAAGACCAAAAAAGAAAGAAAGACGCAGCAATTGTTTTTCTCCTCTGACAAATGTTCATTTCTCTGCAATTAGCTAATGGAAAAAGCCGACTCCTGGCTTGTGTTATGCACTTCAAACACTATTCATGTGTGGCCTGCACCTTGTCTGTACCATGAATCCATTCCCTCCCATCAGTCCCGCAGTGATGGAAATATCATTGACACATGGAAATATCATTGTAACTCAGAAAATATTCCTCATCAAATGTCTCAGTGCTGTATATGATGGATAGTTTATCGGCTTAAAAGTTTACTGTTGATGGTAAGTGATAGCAGTCATTGTAAATAGAAGAACTTATTTATTCTCTAACTTATTCAGAGATGTATTTATATTTGTATGAATGATGCACTGAATTGTGTAAAATAAAAGCATACAAAAATATTTTTTCAAAGAATGGTGAGGTCATTTGACTTATGGTGTTTAATTGTTCTGTTTAATTTCTCTAACACTAATTGGATCTTCAGTTTTAAATTGCATGTTCCAGCAAATGTAATTTGAACTTATTCAACACCAACTGAACAGTTTGCACTGAAATAAAACAGCATGTTTTTATTCTCCGCTGGTTCATGGTAACTTTTAAGAACTTGTTTTGGATAAAATGCTGCACTTCCTCTGAGCACATATGCAGGTACTGACACTGTACAACAAGCTCTGGGATCAATCATTTCTAAAACCCTGATGCTTGCCAGATTAACTTTAGAAAAGATCTCGGGCCAGATGTCGTAACCTGCAGCAAAGCTTTTGGCTTTTTGGCTCAAATTAGCTTTTGAAAGACCTACTGTACCAACACAAACAGTCCCAAAACAGAGAATGTCTACTCAGCTGAATTCTGATAGATAATTCAACATGTTAGCAGACCTATAATCTAAAAATGTGCAGGAATTATAAAGCTATTTCAAATCTTTTCAAGAGCTGGTTAACAGCTGCCTTATAGTTAATTATGCATGTTAAATTAAATGTTTTTATTTGTTACTGTGAAAGTAATTCTGAATAAAAAGTGTCTATATGGCCATACTGTGGGCTGGGGGTGGGGTAAACATATACTGTAACTGTAATTAGTTGGAGGTACTGGGAGCTGAACAGAATTGGGCCAGTTAGGATATTTTTGTCAAACAAAACAGTCACACCTTCTTGTTCGTGTTTATTTAGTACATGCTCCTTCTCTCTGCTCCATTACACTATACCTAGCCCTTCACCTACATCCTTGTTGTGTTCACTCTCCGAGCTAATGCAGAAATCCTTAACTTGCTGAGTCATCTACAGCAAACATTTGGTTTTACAATTTTGTGTCAGTCACATTAAGAAATGCCATCAACGTGTTCCATGTGTGTGAATTCTCAGGACAGCAACCTGCTCTATTCACACACATGTGCTTAATCAGACATTACACAAATTTTGTACAAGGAAGCAGGCAGGGTGAAGTCGGTTCAGGTGATTTAGCCATTTGTGTTCTTACATACAGCTCCTTTGGGTAATGTCTAGATAAGTTCAGGCTGTACCCAAGGGTTTGGGCCGGGTTTGGACAGAAATTTAGACATCATGTTCAGGTCTGGGTTGGGCTCAGACACATACAGTAGGTCAAAGTTTAGGCTAGATGGCTGGAGCGCTCAAATGTCTACTTTATATTGTTAGGTATTTTTAGTCGGATAGAAATTGGATAGATACTTTATGTATTAGAAATGTTTAGTGGAGATAGGATGTCTAGTTAGACTGTTAAATGCTTAGTCATGCTTATGAGTTTCTGCAGGGTACATCTGGTCAAGGATAACTAGAGAGAAGAGTTGATGACTGTCAGCAGACAGGGGGTTTAATATTATTATTATGACGTGTATAACTGTAGCCTTAGCCATAATATGTTCTTATGTTTAAGTCACGACATGTTACTAGAGGTCGTGAGAATGTTTTTAGTTACACACCACTTAACCAACAGACACACGCACATTGATTTACTTCATGTTTTGACTACTGCTATGACCAGCTGCAAAGCTGGTAACAGAGACGTCTCGGTTGACGTTTCTGTGTAGTATGGGGCTAGCCCAACCGAGGGGATATAATGTATAGGCCTGGTTTGGTTCAGGGTCTTTCATCTTACATCTGCCTGCGAGCAGTTTGGAGGTGCAAGATACCTGAGTGTGTAATGTTAATTTTACCTGTGATCCTTTGAATAAATCAGCACTGTTTTGAAGTTACTTGGACTGTCTTGTCTCTCAGAGTTAGCAATGATAACAAGAGCCATAATTCCACAATATAATGATAAGGGGAAAAACACCGTACGTACTCAACTGTATCGGGCATTATATGCTATAAGCTTGTCGGGTCCAGGTCTGATTCTGACACCACACTCTCAGGCACGGGTCAGGTTTGGACAGAAATATTCAGCCCAATGCTCGAGGTTGGAGTGCATGTCTGAAAAGGGCTTCCTATTAGTTACGAGGGAAAGGCTTGTTCAGTCTCTGCACTGCTACCAGGCTGTTGAATGACTGGGTCTCTGCCTTTGACAGCACTTCTCTACATTAAGCTGAAGGGGAGAGGCCATCCCTTGCATTTATGGCCATTTATGGTGTTAGGTATTTTTTAGTCAGCTAGATATTGGTTAGGTACTTGTTGTATTAGAAATGTCTTTAGTGTAGACAGGATGTCTAGTTAGACTGTTAAATGCTTACTCATTTCCATGAGTTACTCCAGGTTGTTTATGTCCAAGGATAACTAGATAGAAAGTGGCTACTGTATGATATGTTTAGCCGTAATCTTAATCATAATATCGTCCTAGGCTTAATGTCAGGTCATGTCCCTGAATGTCCTCTATGTTCTTAGCTACACACCACTTAATCAACACTCACACACATTGATTTTCTCCATGTTTTGACTACTGCTACGGTCAGCTGTAAAGCTGGCATATCAGGTGACGCCACGGTTTGACGTGCCTGTGTAGAATGGGGTTAGCCCAAACCAGATATAATGTACAGGCCTGTTGGGTTCGGGGTCTTTCATCTTTCATCTGCCTGCGTGCAGGTTGAAGGTGCAAGATGCCTGAGTGTGTAATGTTAATTTTTACCCGTGTTCATGGAATAAATCAGCACTGTTTTGTAGTTACTTGGACTGTCTTGTCTCTCAGAGTCCATATGGTAAAAAGTACCGGGTACAACAATGGCCTACCAAAAATACACAACGAAGGAGCCCCACTCAGACCCATTGTCAGCAGCATCAGCTCTGTGACTTACAACATAGCCAAGCACATGGCCACCATCCTGGCTCCTGTTGTACCCCGTACTTTTTACCATACTGACTCTGAGAGACGAGACAGTCCAAGTAACTTCAAAACAGTGCTGATTTATTCAAAGGATCACAGGTAAAATTAACATTACACGCTCAGGTATCTTGCACCTCCAAACTGCTCGCAGGCAGATGTAAGATGAAAGACCCTGAACCCACCAGGCCTATACATTATATCCCCTCGGTTGGGCTAGCCCCATACTACACAGAAACGTCAACCGAGACGTCTCTGTTACCAGCTTTGCAGCTGGTCATAGCAGTAGTCAAAACATGAAGCAAATCAACGTGTGAATGTGTGTGTCTGTTGGTTAAGTGGTGTGTAGCTAAAAACATTCTCACGACCTCTAGTAACATGTCGTGGCTTAAACATAAGAACCTATTATGGCTAAGGCTACAGTTATACACGTCATAATAATAATATTAAACATCCTGTCTGCTGACAGTCATCAACTCTTCTCTCTAGTTATCCTTGACCAGATGTACCCTGTAGAAACTCATAAGCATGACTAAGCATTTAACAGTCTAACTAGACATCCTATCTCCACTAAACATTTCTAATACATAAAGTATCTATCCAATATCTATCTGACTAAAAATACCTAACACTCCTTTGGTGGGGAACACACAGCACCACATAATAAACTCCCAGGACTTCGCAAGGAAAGTCCAACAACTGCAGCTGAACCAGGACGAGACCATGGGCTCATATGATGTCACATCCTTGTTCACTTGCATTCCCACCACAGAGGCTGTCAGGGCGGTGAACAAGAGACTGCTGAAGGATGACACGCTAAACAACAGGACTAACCTCACCCCAGACTCTCACTGATACTGGGCTATAACAACTCAGTCGTTAAGGGACATTGTTGGCCTTCAAAGGACTGAAACACCACTGAGGGGGATAAATATCTCTGGCTCAACACCAGTCAGTCAGAACTGATGAAGCCTCTTGGATGAGAGGTGAACCGTCTTCGACCAGTTGATTTTTTCTAAGTTTTTTCAGTTTACTATGACCTGGATGACTGAGAATCTACACAGACTTCTTCTCTACATTAAGATATGTTCTGGAGACTAAAAATACTAGAAACAAAGTAAAAACTCTAAGCACTACTGAAATGTTGGCTCGGTTCCATTCACAGTGACCATTTTCCACTGATACCAAAAGATGTACTAAGCATGTCTGATCCATGTGGCTGCTCTCTCCAGTTTCTTTGCCAACCATCAGTTTATAATTCTAACAAATACCACAATAAAATGAATGTTGACTGTTGAATGCACATTGATGATGGAAAAGACTACATAGTAAAATGTAGTCTGAGGGTACATTTGGTCTGTATGTAGAACCAGACTGATGAGTTGTAGGCATAACTCTACTGAAATAAATTCAAATAATTCCAGGAGTGAATGACCATGGTCGCCTACTGCACGTTGCTACTTAAACCCTTTTAATGTTTCACTTCAGCCAGAAAAAAGCAGGTGTGCCTACTCTGAAGTCATGCTTAACATTTGCTTACTGAACAGGCACAGTGAAGCAGAGAGAGGGACTGCACGTAGGATTCCTTTGGCTATGTGCAGTGGTTATGTCTTCATGGGGGCAGTCCGTCGCTGTGAGAGGAACATGAGCTCAGACAATATTTATTAAGTAGGATGTTGAAGACTTTTTGGCTTCAGTTTATCTGCAGGACATCCTAGGATACAGGTCAAGCATTTAAGGAGATACAGAGAGTACAGGCACTAGTGCCATTCAAAAATGAACTAGGTCATGCTGGAGTGATATGCACCTGTCTCTCCATTAGTTCATGTAGCAACTTCCTAGTCATTTACCCTGACGTCAGTATAAACTCTCAGGCCCCCAGCGTGTACGGCAGAGTGTGAATAGCTGACTAAGAGTGGAGAATGAAAACAGGATGCTTTTCTGCATTCCTACCCAATTCCTTTAGCACAGGACAGAACTGGCGGAGGAAGAGAAACAAAGGAAAAACAGGAGCATGTCTGCTGCTGGCTCAGGGGACTGATACGGGCTGGATAGGGGATTGAGATTGTAGCCTTAATCACA